TGGAGAACTTGCTTCATGGAGCGCACGATCCGTTCGAACACGCCGCCGAAATGAGGAGAACGAGGCGGATTGAATTTCCACTCAATCCCTTGGCCTGCATACTCCGATGTGAGGTCGGCATGGTCAAGCTGGGCGACTGCCTCCCTCAGCTCTCGCTCTGTCGCAACAAAATTGCTTCCATTATCAGTAAGCAACATCTCGGGTGTGCCGCGACGCTTGCAGAATCGCGTCAGGGCCATCTTGAAGCCAGTCGTGTCGAGAGAGGTAACCAGCTCCAAGTGACACGCTCGAGATTGCAGACACGTGAACACTGCCACATACCTCTTCTCTTGTGTACGTCCTCGACCTCTCTTCACTAGAAATGGTCCGGCGAAGTCCACAGCGGTGCGGGCGAATGCCAGAAGTGGTCCTTGCGTGCGGAGGTCTGGGAGAGGACCCATCCTGGGAGTGGCTGGTTTGCGCCACACCTTCTGACATCCCACGCAGTGGTGCCGATGTGACTTCACCATTTGCTTGCCTTTCACAAGCCAGTAGTGATTGGCGAGATTGGACAGGATGTGATTCGTGCCAATGCTGTGTCGGCATCGCTCATCCTCTCTCCGAATGATCAGCTCTGTCACTCGGTGTCGAGTTGGGAGAATAATTGGCGATCGAAACTCAGATGCCAAGTGGTAAGCCGTACGCAGTCTCCCACTAACTCTTAATACGGGGTATCCACTCTGTTCGTCGATGCGCGGTTGCAACTTGAGAAGAGGGGCACTGCTTGGCAACTCCTTCCCTTTTCTCAGCGTGCTCGTCACTTCACCATAGCTCTCATCTTGCGCACACATGATCCAATAGTGCTCCGCTCTTTCAAACTCAGCTGGTGAGAGCTCGGGCACGGCAACCTCCTTGCTGTTCTTGATTGCAATCTTCACACGGGCGTCGCTGAGCGCTAGCTGTGGCAGTCGGCTCTTGCGGCGATTGTGTATGGCACGCATGCACCAAGCCGTGACCCGCACAAGACGGCTCCACGAGGAATAGTTGTTTGGACTTAGCCGCAACGGTGGTGACATCATTGCCGTCATCGTGATTTCAGGAGTCTTGAGCATTTGTGGTAGCTCCTTCGGCACAGCTATCCTGCGATCTGGCCATTCGCTCTGTTGCTGTGCCAGAAACGATGGTCCATGCCACCACCTGCTCTCCTCTGCCAGCTGTGTGACTGTCATCCCACGGGTGGGGAGATCAGCTGGATTTCTGACTCCGGGAAC